GATCACGGCGATATATCTCCACCGCGCTCCACACGCTCGGGTGTCAAGGGTAGTGTTTTAGGGAGGGTGCGCGGGGCAGCAATTCATGCGAGAGAGCTGACAGTTCTTTGATGTGAAAATGATGCCCTGATTTTACTCCAGGGTGTACAACCGAAGAAAGATTACACTGTTTAAAAAGAGAAATTTAGACCCAGATGATAACAGTAACGAGCCAAGGAGACGGGGTGGAGGGAAGTCAATTTTACAACTGGAGAAGCAATCTCTGAAGGCCTTGTGCAGCCTGTTGGGTCCGAGCGAGCGAACCCCAGTTCCTGATAAATCATTAATCACGGATGATCTTTGCAGCTAAAGACAGCCATCCCCGCGCAGGTTCTCATTGCCGCCGGTCCCCCGGTGCCGCCGGCGGGGAGCTCGGACACCCGCGGCGGCAGGAGCGGCCCCGTCCCTTCCACTCGTGTGTGGCTTTCACCAGGAAGGACTCGCACGACAGAGGAGAAAACAACACAACAACGTCTTAGTCGTTTTCTTTATCAAATGATGCGAGGGACAGATTGTGGCTTGAAGTCCCTTTTTAAAAAAGAACCCACAAATAAATCTACCTCTACTCCCCCCGCCCTGCGGGACGTGGAGCAGGCAGGCAGGGCTGCCCGCCCCTGCCCGGAGCGCATCATTTCTTCTTTCAAACAAGCCAGCAAAGAAACCCGATTCTCAGGATAAAATCGTTTCGAGGTATTCGCTGTAGAGCGAGAGCATCTCTGGGGTGCTCACGGCGTGTTTCTGAGCGGGGTAACACCACACACACCACACCCCCCCGCCGTGCATACACCAGTCAGCTGGTAGGACTCCTTTTCCTCCACACACGGCTTTTGCAGCCTACTGAACCTGTCAGAAAAATGAAGCTTTCCATTTCCCAAACTTCCATTCTTTTGCTAGCCCGGACTGAAAATTGCCGTTCTCAGCCCGTACCGAGGAACCTCCACGCAGCAGTAATCAGGCAGAGGACAAAACGCATCTTCCAGGCAACTAAGAAAGGCTCTGAAAAACTTCAAAGTAGCGAAACACAAACAAATACGTTTTCCAGTACAAATT